AAGGTGTGACAGCAGGACTCTAATACTGGTGTTTGGCACTTAGCGTAGCCTAAATCTCATTCCCTCTTGTTTGATCTGATGGGAATGACAGTCTGGCTAAGGATTATCAAGGGCTGACGTTGAGTGGTTTTGGGTGCTGCTTTTAGGGGAAAGCTTTTCCCTTTAATCTGAAGGGATCTGGTTATCTGTCATCTTTTTCAAGGGCTTTTTCAACGCAAGGAGATAAAGTCAGAAAGGGGTAGCAGTGTTACCATCTGGATAATGATGCCAACCCACAACTTCACCAGGAGGTGTCAGAGCTTCCTAAGTTAAGCAGGTCAATATGTTTTTTTCTATTTTCAGCTTTTGATGACTTCTAAAAACTATTTGGGCCCAACAAACTTTGGGGAGTGTATAGAGGAAAAGACAGGGACAGTACTGAGTGGAAGAGGAGAGATGCAGCAAGATGAATGACAGTTACAGATAGGAAAGTGTCACAGGAGTTTCTCAAGTCTTTTTAACACGAGGGACTATTCTTTGTAGGTAACTAATATCTAACATGTTTAACAATTACTGCTGACCAGAGCACTTCAGTGCTGATCTGAGTGGAAATGTGAGGCATCTGACTCTTCTGAAGCATCTCTTCTCGTCTTGATGGGATCCTTGAGCCTTCCCTGCCTGCATCTCCCACCTACTGCTCAGTCTGCTCATCACATGCTCTGCCCCTCACTGCCCTGAGAGGGCCAGTTTATTGAAAAAGCACACTTACCTGCGGTCCCTTTCCCAAAGTCTCACTTCTTCACTTTAAATCTTGGGATTTAAAATTCACCTGCAGATGTGCCTGATCTCTCTGCAGTCCGTCATGCTGATGGCCTTTGCTGGGAGTGAGGTGAGCTGCACCCGCAGCACTTTGTGGCTGCAGCAAGCGGTTTTTTTTAGTTGTTGCCCCTTCTCCTGTAGACACTGTGCTGCTCCCCAGAGACTGCTGGGAAGAACAGGCTGAAGGTTTTCAGGGAACTGACCAGGTGCAAAAAGTGAGCTTTATTTTGGCTAGATAAAATAAATACTCTTTTCCT